AAAAAAAAAAAAAAAAAAAGGAGACCAAGGCTCAGAGAGGTTAAGTATAGCAAGGGCAGCAGTTACACAGCAAGGTTCACCATTGGCTGTTCAGGCTGGGTGTGGGGGATGCAGAAAAAGCAAGCATTTTCCCTCTCCCTCTTCATTTTAATTTTTGTTGAGAGAGTGGAAGAGACTCAAGGGTGGTCACATAGGCAGGCCTGGAGGGGCCAGGAGGGAAGCTCCTGCATCTCTGCCAGTTCTAATATTCCCCTTGTCCTTCAGGCACTGGAGTAATGGATCCTCGAGCCTCAGCTTCACTCAGAGAAGTGAGCTCCCTCCTTCCCATCCCTGCTCCCTGGGTTCTGGGGAGAGCATATGGGGCTAACCCCTTTCTATCCACAGGAGGAGAAGATGAGGAAGGAAGAGGAAGAGGCCAAGAAGCGGGCAGAGGATGATGCCAAAAAGAAGAAGGTTCTGTCCAACATGGGGGCCCATTTTGGAGGTTATCTGGTCAAGGTGAGTTCAGCATACAGGAACCAGAGGTCTAAATCTGGTTTCAGATGGAGGAGAGGAGTATGAATTTCTGGGTCTGGGGGACGAGGGGCTGGGGAAGGGACCCCTAGGCCTGGAGGAGGAAGGGCTGGGGACAGGACCCCTGGGTCTGGGGACAAAAATCCTTGGTCTGAGGGAAGAGGGGTTGAGGCTGGATCCCTGGGTCTGAAGGAGGAGAGGATCTGACCCACCTCTCGGGGGATCTGAACCCCAGCTCAAGGTGCCCCCTCCCTAACCCTCAGGCAGAACAGAAACGTGGTAAACGGCAGACAGGGCGGGAGATGAAACTTCGAATCTTGTCTGAGCGCAAGAAGCCTCTGGAAATCGACTACATGGGGGAGGAACAGCTTCGGTAGGTTCTGTGGGGGCCTCAGGGCTGGAGGGGCCTGGGTCTGAGGCAGAGGCAGAGGGATAAGAACCCTGCCCAAACCCAGGTGGGAAGATCTTCTGGGGTCTGAGCCCTGCTGCTGTGTGACTTTGGGCAAACAGCTCACCCTCTCTGGGCCCTACTGCCTTCCTTCTCTGTGAAAGATGTCACTGATAGAGAGTCCACTTTTGGTGGCTGTGTGGCCTGTAGAATCTGGCAGGTGACATGGAGAACAGAGCCAGACAAGCCAGCCCCCCCATTTTAGGAGATTTCATTAACTTAGCGATGCACCATAGGAGCTCAGTGAAGTCAGATGTGCTGGGCTGAGGCTCCGCCTGGCTCCCTGCATCATGACCCACTGCCCCACCAGGCAGAAGGCCGAGGAGCTGTCAGACTGGATCCACCAACTGGAGTCCGAGAAGTTTGACTTGATGGCAAAGCTGAAGCAGCAGAAATATGAGGTGGGTTCGGCCTCTACAGGGGGCCCCAAGCCAGGTCAGGCCAGCGGGGGAGGGCGGGGCAGGGCAGGGGTAGTCGGCCCCCCCATTGCCTGTCTCAGCATCTCCCTCCTACTCTGCAGATCAACGTGCTGTACAACCGCATCAGCCACGCCCAGAAGTTGTGAGTGTGACTTGCTTCCCCCCACAATGCAGTCTCTTAGGGGTTTTCTCCTTCCCTCTGTGGGTGCCTATCCCTGGCCCTCACTGGGTATCTGCCCCTTTCCCTGTCTCTGTCCTTCGTTCTCTGAGACACTTCTTCCTTGTCCTCCTCTCTGTTCTTGGCGTCCCAGGTCTCACTCAGTCCTTTTGTGTCCCTCTAAACCCGGATCCTTGAGGAGGTGAGGGGAGGGCAGTCTTGTCCTCCCAGAGGACCTTGGGCAATGTCTGCAGACACTTAGTTGTCAAAACTGGACAGGGGGCTACAGGCATCTGAAATGTAGAGGCAGGGGAAGCTGCTCAACACCCTCCAATGCACAGGACAGGGCCCCACACAGCAAAGAATGATCTAGTTCCAAATATCTATCCAGCTGAGGTTGGGACCGTCTCCTTTTAGTCTCTCTGTTTCTCCCTCTTGCTCTTACTCTCTGGCTCTGCTCTCTTTCTCTCTCGTTGTCTCTCTTTTACCCCAGCCTCCTCTGGACCCTCTTGCACATTACTCACCCTCAGATCCCCCAACTTTTCTTCCCCACCACCCTGGCCCTTTACTCATAAATGTTCATCAGCACCTGCCTGAGCATCCTGAGCTCCCTCATGTCAAGGAGGCCTTTAACCAGCCTCAATTGTTAAATCTGAATGAGATGCCAGTTGAATGCCTTCACCCAAAACTTTCTTTGGGCAGGGAGGGCTAATATTTTGGGGGTGGACTTCCTGAGTTGGGAGTTCAAGGGTTGGAAGGGCCACTCCTTCCTCATACCACATTCTTTCTTCTCCTACAGCCGAAAGGGGGCAGGGAAGGGCCGAGTTGGAGGCCGCTGGAAGTGAGCCTGACAGGGCAGTGGCCCACCTTGAGGCACCTTGGACTGTTTGTTCTATCTGAAGGCTTGAAATAAATGCTCCTTCCTGCAGATACCTGCTGAGTTCTTTGATGTTATTATTTATTTATTTATTTACTCGAGACAGAGTCTTACTATATCACCCTCAGTAGAGTGCTGTGGCAAAACAGCTCATAGCAACCTCAAACTTTTGGGCTTAAGCGATTCTCTTGCTTCAGCCTCCCAAAGTAGCTGTGACTACAGGTGCCTGCCACAAGGCCCAGCTATTTTTTGGTTGTAGTTGTCATTGCTGTTTAGCAGACCTGGGCTGGGTTTGAACCCGCCAGCTCCAGTGTATGTGGATGGTATCCTAGCCGCTGAGCTATAGGCACTGAGCCAGATGTTATTATTGTTGATATGCTTCTGGCCTCTCACAGTTGATTGACAACCAAGGAGCTGTTGCTTGGTGATAATAAATCATTCAGAGTCACATCAACAGTCACTAAAATGGGCCAGGTGCAATGGCTCATGCCTATAATCCTAGCACTCTGGGAGGCCTGGGGGGTTGGGGGGAATCCCTTGAGCTCAAGCCTTTGAACCCAGCCTGAGCAAGAGCATGACCCCATCTATATTAAAAAAATAGAAAAACTAGCCGGGCATTGTGGCAGGCTCCTGTAGTCCTAGTTACTCAGGAGGCTGAGGCAGGAGGATCTCTTGAGCCCAAGAGTTTGAAGTTGCTGTGAGCTAGGCTGATGCCATGGCACTCTAGCCTGGGGACAGAGTGAGATTCTGTCACCAAAACAAAACAAAACATAAACCATCACTAAAATGATACGTCAAGTTGAAGCTTCACACACTGCTGTGGGAATGTAAAATGGTGCAGCCTGTTTGGAAAACAGTCTGGCAGTTCCTCAAAAAGTGAAATAGAATTACCATCTGACCCAGGCATTTCACTCCTAGGTACACGCCCAGGAGAACCAAAAACATGTGTTCATACAAAAACTTGACATAGGCTGGGCAGGGTGTCTCACTTCTGTGGGAAACCACGGTAGGCGGGTTTTTTGAGCTCAGGAGTTTGAGACTAGCCTGAGCAAGAGTGAGACCATGTTTCAACTTAAAATAGAAAAGTCAGCCAGGTGTTATGGTGGGCGCCCATAGTCTCAGCTACTTGGGAGGCTGAGGCAGGCGATCTCTTAAGCCCAGGAGTTTGGGGTTGTAAGCTAGGCTGACACCATAACATCCTAGCTTGGGGCAACAGTGAGTTTCAAAAACAAATTGAGGCTTCTTTTGCCTTTCTGTTCTGCTTTCATCTACAAGATCACTTTATGGGCACAATAGGATTTCTGGAGCTCTAGCCATCATATCCACTTTCTAGGAAGAATGATGGCAGAAGGAGTGATCAGAAATGTCCCCTTAGCTGAATCATCCTTCTTTTTTTTTTTTTTTTTTTTTTTTTTTGAGACAGAGCCTCAAGCTGTCCCCCTGGGCAGAGTGCCGTGGCATCACAGCTCACAGCAACCTCCAACTCCTGGGCTCAAGCGAGTCTCTTGCCTCCGCCTCCCAAGTAGCTGGGACCACAGGCACCCGCCACAACGCCCGGCTATTTTTTGGTTGCAGCCGTCATTGTTGTTTGGCGGGTCCAGGCTGGGGATTCGAACCCGCCACCTTAGGTGTACATGGCTGGCGCCTTAGCCGGTTGAGCTATAGGAGCCGAGCCGAATCATCCTTCTTTATTAAGCCCTTCTGGAAGCTTGCTCAGCAATGTTCAGTTACATTTCATTGGCTACCTTTCATTGCCAAGGAGACTAGGTCTCCAACTTACTCTTCAATTCCCTGTGGCTTTACCATTCCAAATACAATCTTGGTACTGGACCCCCTCTCAGCCCAGGGACCCACAAAAAACCCTTAAAACTGAGTTTCCAACCGTTATGGGATGGGAGGTCCAACATGTGTCATATTTTTTTGATAACAGCCATCAGGCTTTCTTTCATAACTAACAGAAACCAGTTGCACGATCACTCCTTTCTCCCTTTTTGTAGTTTCAATATAACAACCAACCAGCATTCCTTCCTGATAAGAGACCACTAACCACAGAGTGGTTCCAGCCAGTTCATGGAGGATGCACAATGATGGCTTTTATTGCCTCTGCTTGACCTTTTTAGGTCAGAAGGCTGAAAACCCCACCCTCAGATCATGTTAACAGTGCTATTTATTTGTACATGTGACCAAGAAAGGGCATGAAGCTCATTTGGACATGTGCATGTTCCACTTTTTGTCAATATTCGTGACTCCTCCTATAGTTTGCTAACTACCTATATATGTGTATTTGGCCACCTTACTTAGCTTGTGTTCCTATTTCCTTGTCCCTCCCAGGAAGCTCTCAGCTTTTGCCCAAGGCAATTGCTTCTAGCCCCTCAGAATGGCCACCTGCTGGCTACAACCCTTTCTGAGAAATAAAACTCTTCCTTCCAAAAAAAAAAAATCATGGTTCTATTATTGAGGAAGGAGACAACAGTGATGGGCAGATAATTAGCATTCTCTGACATAGTCTGCCACTTTTTTGCTATCCAATGCAAATTTCTAAATCTTGCACAGGGAACAGACACAGTCCCCAAGACCCTGGTTCTTAGGGTCACTCAATTAGTCTTGGATGGATCTCTGGATGATTTTGGCATCCTATAAACAAAGTTCTCTCTCCCAAAATCCACAGGTAGAGAAGGAATAGGGAAAATGTTATAACAAAAACAACTGGCTCTGCACCTGTGGCTCAAGCAGCTAAGGTGCCAGCCACATACACTTGAGCTGACAGGTTCACATCCAGCCCAGGCCCGCCGAGCAACAATGACAACTGCAACCAAAAAATAGCTAGGTGTTGTGGCAGGTGCCTGTAGTCCCAGTTACTTGGGAGGCGGAGGCAGGAGAATTGCTTGAGCCCAGGAGTTGGAGGTTGTTGTGAGCTGTGATGCCATAGCACTCTACCCAGGGGGACAGCTTGAGGGTCTGTCTCAAAAACAACAACAACAACAAACTATTGCTGTATTGGAAAAGGAGAGAAAGGGACACTCAGCGCATTCACTGAACAGGGATGATATGTTTTTTTTTTTTGAGACAGAGCCTCAAGCTGTCCCCCTGGGTAGAGTGCCATGGCATCACAGCTCACAGCAACCTCTAACTCCTGGGCTCAAGCGAGTCTCCTGCCTCAGCCTCCCAAGTAGCTGAGACCACAGGCGCCCACCACAATGCCCAGCTATTTTTTGGTTGCAGCTGTCATTGTTGTTTGGTGGGCCGGGCTGGATTCGAACCTGCCACCTTAGGTGTATGTGGCTGGTGCCTTAGCCACTTGAGCCACAGGTGCCCAGCCAAGGATGCTATGTTAAACTGGTTCTACATGCTGGGATAAAATCCCTTCAATCTCTATAATCACTTGGCTCTTGACACTGCATTTGGGAGAGGGGTTATTTTCTTACTCATAACTGAAGATGACATTCAGGAGGTTTCCATTCTTGGGAAGGTCAGCAATTTCAAATCCTCCTTTCTGTTGGTGTGAGTTAGGCGACCCAGGGGATATTTTAATGTGTTCAGAGTCACAGGCTGGTTCAAACAAGGAGTATCTTTGACAATACAATTCTCTCTTAAATTTAAAATGTTCCTTTATGCAAATAATTATTCTAAAGACAGTTTTAAAATAATAGAAATCAGAAAAAAAAATAGAAAGCAGAGGAGATTATCATAGTCTTACCCATATCTCCACATGGGATAAGAGTCAACTTCATACTTTTGTGAATTTTTTCACTTTATTCCCTTATCTGAACCATCTTTATGATGCACAATTGTGTCTGTTTTCTGCTGTTACAGTGGAAGAGGGAACACTTTCTTCTTCTTATCTTTCTGAGGTTATTTTCACTAGCAGTAAGGAGGGCCTGCAGCTCCAAGGTTAAGCACTGAAATTCCACTGTTAACACTAAGAGAAAACAGCAGCCCTGAAAAGAAAAAAAAAACCCAAAAACTTCACTATGGAAAAGAAAATGGCAAAAGAGAATTTTGTCAAGTGGAGTAATGACTATGCATGTATACAGACAACTCGTTGAATTACCAGATACTTTCTAGACACCATCTCAACAATTCCAAGAGGCAGAGACAATGAGATTAGCCCCAAGTCACAGAGCTAGGAAGTGGGCTGAGACTAGATTTAAATCCAGGATTGTCAACTTTAGAGCTGGAATTCTTTGCCATTCTAGTGGAATAAATTTTTAAAAATAGAAGTAAAAGTTTAAAGGAAGCAATCAACATAAAGATTACTAATAGAGCTGATGGCAAGACCATGTTCCACAGTTCATTGGGTAGGTTGTCCAGACACCCCAAATTGTGCTTCTCACAAAAGAGATCACAGTCATGAAAATATACATAGATATGTTTATATGAACATGTACGAACATAAACACAAGCGCCCATAAACAACATAAGCTCAGTCATGGACATGATCGGATACTCACAATCACAATGTAGTATTATGAACAGACACAGAAATACACATATAACCACACCACACACAATGACACTCTGGAGATTTCTTGTTTTCCTGAGGAAAGGAGCCTGGTGTGTATGTGTGTAGAAAGTGTGGAGTTCAGGGATTACATATTTCAACAGCCACCAGGATTATCCCTTTGCATAGGGAGAAGCTTCATGGGATTTGGAGTTTATTTTCTGCACAAGCCTAAGGACTTCAAAGTGGGCGGGCTGCCCTAATATCCCTTGGGAAAAAGTCTGTTACCTCTGTCCAGATTTTGGCACCTTTTCTGTGTGATTTTTTTTTTTTTTTTCAGATAGAGCCTCAAGCTGTCCCCTGGGTAGAGTGCCGTGGCATCACAGCTCACAGCAACCTCCAACTCCTGGGCTCAAGTGAGTCTCCTGCCTCAGCCTCCCAAGTAGCTGGGAACACAGGCACCCGCCACAATGCCGGGCTATTTTTTGGTTGCAGCCATCATTGTTGTTGGGCGGGTCTGGACTGGATTCGAACTTGCCACCTTAGGTGTATGTGGCTGGCACCTTAGCCACTTGAGCCACAGGCACCGAGCCTTTCTGTGTGATTTTTATGGATC